AGAAATTAAATTCTGAAGGCGGCTTTTTTTTTTCCTTTGCAAATTTGAATACGTTCAAATTGGTTTGTTTTCAAGACTCAAGGTCATCTGATAATTTCACATTCTGCGAGCATCAAGCCATGTACAGCAACGCAGCTATGACCCGTTTTGCTCAGATTTTAAAATAGAAATGATCAATCACTTTTCTGCCTTTGAACAATGCCCTGAGAAAACACAATATCAGAGGGCAACAGAAGCAAATGGTTGACTTCTTGAAATAACAAGGCAAAGACGTCTATCTCTATCTGCAAATGCTCCAGTTCCTATCAACTCAATCAGCTGTAACAAATCTAAAATCTTCACTGAAAATTAATTTGGTCTAACAACAACCTTTATGAGCTTCTACATCATTTCACCCTACACCCTACCTTAATGGCGGTGGTGTCTCAATCGTGCAGTGATCGCACAATAAATCTTGTTGGTACATCTGTACTCTGAATAATTAAGCAATTATTGACTTTCAGCTGTTTACAGTTCATCTACACTCTAAAAAATCCTGGGTTATTTTTTTAACCCAAATGCTGAGTTATTTTTTCAGTGTTTGGGTAGTTTTTGTGTTACCCAGCTCCTGAGTCAAATGTAACAACCCAATGTTTGGGTAGTTTTTTAGTGTTACCCAGCTCCTGGGTCAGACATAACAACCCAATGTTTGGGTAGTTTTCGTATTACTCAGATCCTGGGTCAGACGTAACCCATCGGTTGAGTTATTTATTGCGGGGATTTTGCCTTCTCTTCTGGATAGAACAGTTCTAAGCGCCATCGAATTTATGTATTTCTTCGGTAAAATACAGGTTTGTGTACATTTTATTTTATATATAAAATCGTTACTGTGCTGTATATCGTTCAATTTCATGCAGAGCCAAACACAACTCCAGCTCGGGCACGTGAGCCAGCGCCGTTACGGTGGAAACAGAATAACAGACTGGTCGTTTCATGTGAATTACTTCTGTTTAATGTTTAATATTTACTTTTAATGTTTGTTAAACGAGTTTAAATAAGCAATATGTATACATACAAACGATAAACAATGCTGTAAATGATAAATAAAGGAAAATAAAGGAAGTTATCATGCAAACCAGTGGTTTTGTGGAGTATTTTACAAAAGTTTAGTGGATTTAAGTTAATCTGTAAACATTATTTCATGTATAAAGTAAAACATAAGCTATATTATAATAAAAATGAATCAACCCATTAGCTGGGTTAAATCAACCCATTATGATGGGTTAAATAAACGACCCAATTTGCTGGGTAAAATTAACCCCATATGTGTTCTGTCCTATATTTACCCAGCCCTAACCCAGTGTTTTTTAGAGTGTAATTAATCTATTTGTGCTTAAATATGGTGCTGTCCTTCATGATATGCGCATAATGGCCTGAGAAGAGAAAATTGTTTGGATCCCGTTGCCTTCCTCAATTAGGTTGAATCATCTGCTGACTTCCTGCATCTTGCCCTTAGAATACTAATAACTATCTTTGTGGGGATATCAATGTCAGAGTCTGTGTTTGAGATAGGCAGCATGCAATATTCTTCAGCTTCTGAGGGATCAAGCAGAGTTTGCTCAGTAGAGGAGGTTTCCCGTAGCTCGGAGGAATCATATTCTGACAGGGATCTTTCAGTAATCAGTGGCTTTGCACAGAGAATTAACTAACCATCCAAAACAACTACCTTCCTGCTCTAATGTGCGATTACAGGATTTGAATTCAAGCAGCAAAGGAAATCCAGCAAAGCCTGGAGCCGCCATATGTTCCTTTTACTTTATATAGAAATAATGAGCCATTTGTACATTTCCTATTAAAATATTTGCATACCAAACACTTGACTTGAATACTGACTCGAACAGCCCATTCATCCAACCTGTGTTCAGAACTCTCCATTCATCTGGGCTACACAGCTAGTCAACGCTAACTCTGCCCCCATACAAACCCCACTGCTGTTCAGCATGACAATTTACAAATATGGATTTTCCACTAATTATACTGAGTGTGTTTAAAAGCTTTTAAAATCCTTATGCCCTGAAGGGTCTTCGCTTCAATTGTTCTGAGGGTAACTACTTCTGGGGATGACAGTAGTATAACCATCTGAGAGAGGAGAACCATGAAGCCAGGAGGTGTAACCACTAATTGACTGAATCCGAACAAACGCTATCTTCCTTTCTATCTCACATGCAACTCGAACTTTTCTTATCTACATGTTTTCTCTCCTGGCTCAGTCCACACTAAATCTGCACCTACAGAACTACAGATTTTCTTTTTCTTTATTAAAGGGGTCATATGATGCGATTTCAATTTTTCCTTTCTCTTTGGAGTGTTACAAGCTCTTGGTGCATAAAGAAGATCTGTAAAGTTGCAAAGACTAAAGTCTCAAATCCAAAGAGATATTCTTTATAAAAGTTAAGAGTCAACCACGCCTACCTAAAACGGCTCGTTCTAACACACCCCACATACCTACGTCACTATCTGGGAAGAGTTGCATAACGCCGCCCAAATAGTGACGTAGGTATGTGGGGGCGTGTTAGAACGAGCCGATGAGCTTTGTAAAAATCGACACGTTTCAGAAAGGCGGAGCATAGAGGAGAAACAATAATGTACAGTATGTGGAAAATAATGTGTTTTTTGAACCTTAAACCGCATAAACACATTTCATTACACCAAATACTGTTCTTTTTAGCAGCATCATATGACCCCTTTAAGTCAAATTAAAACTATGGAAGCTTGTTTCTGTCACTGAATGAAAAATAAATACAGGAATGGCAACTTCTTATCTCACAATTCTGACATTTTTCTCGCAATTGTGAGTTTGCATCCCACAATTCTGACTTTTTTTTAATTTCATGATATAAACGTGTCAGAATTGCATGATATAAACTCGCAATTGTGTTACAGTCAGAATTGTCAGAAATAAACTCAGAATTGTGAGAAAGAAAGGCAGAATTCTGAGTTTATATCTCACAATTCTGAGGGCTAAAATAAGAATTTTGAGATATAAACTCAAAACTCCAAGAAAAAAGTGTCACGGCGCGGTACAGAAACACACCGTGTAAACAGGGGTCTGGGTCCAAGTGCAGGTTTTATTCGACTGCAGGGAAAAAACTAAGTAAAAACCAAAACAGAAAACAAACAGAGCTAAGACTCTGACACAGGCTAGCACCGCCGCTTCGAGAACATCATGAGTGGGCACCGCCGCCTTGGGGGAACTGAGAGCGGACACCGCCGCCTCGGGGGAACTGAGAGCGGCCACCGCCGCATCCGGAGTCTTGTGAGCGGGTACCGCTGCTTCGAGAACATCATGAGCGGGTACCGCTGCTTCGAGAACATCATGAGCGGGTACCGCTGCTTCGAGAACATCATGAGCGGGTACCGCTGCTTCGAGAACATCATGAGCGGGTACCGCTGCTTCGAGAACATCATGAGCGGGTACCGCTGCTTCGAGAACATCATGAGCGGGTACCGCTGCTTCGAGAACATCATGAGCGGGTACCGCTGCTTCGAGAACATCATGAGCGGGTACCGCTGCTTCGAGAACATCATGAGCGGGCACCGCCGCCTCGAGGGAACTGAGAGCGGACACCGCCGCTTCTGGAGCCTTGTGGGCGGGCACCGCCGCTTCGAGAACATCATGAGCGGGTACCGCTGCTTCGAGAACATCATGAGCGGGCAACGCCGCTTCGGGGGAACTGAGAGCGGACACTGCCGCCTCGGGGGAACTGAGAGCGGACACCTGTGAGCGGGCACCGCCGCATCGGGGGAACCGAGAACGGCCACCGCCGCCTCGGGGGAACTGAGAGCGGCCACCGCCGCTTCCGGAGCTTTGTGAGCGGACACATCCACCCCGTGGAAACCGCGAGCGGGCACCGCCGCCTTGGGGGAAGTGAGAGCGGACACCGCCGCTTCGGAGGCACTGAGAGCAGACACCGCTGCCTCGGGGACTCTGCGAGCAGACCACGCCGCTCGCACCGACCTCAGCGGAGGTTCCTGCACGCTGCGTACCAGCCCGCGATGCTCCAGGAACGGGCGTGAGAAGGTAACGGAGTCCGGGAGGATGGGAAGTGGCGACTTCTGGTGGTGAGAGGGAGAACACCAGACGCCAGACCCTGACAAAAAGTTAATTTTGAGATAAAAAGTTGCAATTATCTTTTTAATTGTTTTATTCTGTGGCAGAAACGGGCTTCCATTTAAGACAGTTTTAGAAACTTTTTGTTTTCCTCATTTCTTTTTGCTAATTTTCAAATTATTTTTAAATATAGACTTCATTATTTTACTCTTGTCCAAGACCCAGAATTTCAATCTTAAAAGTTTGAAAATCATCATTAAACTACAATGACAATATTAAAATATGATTAAGTGATATATTTATTGTGTGAAAATGATTTATGCAAATTTTTACACAAACTACTATCCCCGAATTCAATAATTTCCTTCAGGAATCACAATTAGCATAGTGGATCAAAACCAAAAGTTAGTGTACTCGGTTACCATGGAGACAACAGTGTCAGGGAAGAGAATTCATGTGATGAATTATGAGAGATGTGATGTGTGAAAAAAAAAACCCTGAACAGACTGCTTTTATTGTGTCTCGAATCAATCTGTAATTTTCTCAAATTATGCATAAGTGTGAAATTATTATTTAATTGTCAGTATTTAGGATACACAAAATGCTAACAATAAAATTAGCCTTAAAAAGATTATGGAGTCTGACATATTAATCCAAAATATTTAAAATGTCATTTTAATCACAAAACAAAAGCGAGAGTTAGATTTTTTTCCCCCACAATTCACAGGGCCAAAAATGTCCAGTTGAAGCAACACCTTTACCCATATCTGCATTTTAAAAGTTTTTGGGAATGAATTTTGTTCAAATATAAGGTAGCATTTGATTTTTGCTCCTAATTTGACATTTAAAATAAATCAGAATAATTAGTGCAGAAAACATCAAATACTCAGACTCAGTGTGGGTTGCATACCATGACAGAGATGTGCAGGATACGAAGCTCCTCCTCGGCGGAGTCACTAGCGGGGTAAGCGGTGGCCGCCGGGCCAGGCAGGTTCTGACTGCCGTCCTGATGGTGGATGTGGAAGAGCAAAGTACCATTTTCCAACCACTGCTGCCTCCAGCGCACCAGGGGGATGTCTTCAGAGTTCCCAGAGATCTCTGCAAATATAAACAAAAGATAATATAAACAAAATCAGGTTCAGTAAATGTTTTGTGTTGCACAGTGGCGCTAAAATGGGGTGTGCAGTATATGCAGTGTATAGGGGTGCAGCACGGAGGGGGGCGCTATTTTGCTTTTGCCGAAATCATTCTGTGAAAATCATCTTTAATAAAATGTTATAAATAATCAAAAGCTTAGTTGATAAACATAATGTAACATGAAACATTTTTATTTAATGGTTGTTTAGCATTTTAATGAGTTCAAAAATATATCTATTTTAAAATGAGTACATATCAACCGCTCACCCTTCGACACATTGCTGCAACAGACACGGTCACATTCATTTCATTCATTCATTTTATTTATAAAGCACTTTACAACTGCACCTGCAGACCAAAGTGTTGTACAATCAACATACAGGTACATACAATACATGAAACACAAACAATCCAAATAAAAACACAGATACCCCAACTCCTTAAAAGCTAATGACAATAAATTATTTTTAACCCCAGCTTTAAAAACATTTATGGATGTAATCTCTCTAATCTCAGATGGTAGGCTATTCCAAAGCCTTGGACTTGCAACAGCAAAGGCCTGATCCCCTTTCAGCTTTAAATGAGTTCGTGGGACAGTAAGAAACAACTTATTTGTTGATCTTAAACACCTAGATGACTGTCGGAAAGTAATCAGCTCAGACACATCAGCAGGAGCCATTCCATGCACTGCCTTGAACACATACAACAGAACCTTATATTTTATCCTGAAACCCACTGGTAGCCATCTGAGTGAGGCCAAGATAGGAGAGATGTGTTGACTTTTCTTAGCACTCACAAGCAGCCTAGCACATGACCAAAATGAATAGAGGAGAGAAACGTTCAGGGGTGCAGAACAGAAAAGACAAAGGGGAAAAGAAAAACAACACATTAAAATGAGGACAGCAATGCTTAAATGAACTAACAGAGATTAGTAAACTCACCCTATAATTGCTTTCATTGTAAAATTTTTTTTACATTGTTGCCTAAGAGTGCAAAGTGATCAACGTTAATATCAGTTCATTTCTGAGAATAAGAGAAACTGAGAAGATTGTTTTTTGTTTTTTTGCCGCTGTATTGAAAATGAGAGGGGGGAGGGGGTTCACACTTTTTTTTCACTCCTGATGAGTTTGTATCTTTCCATGCACAAGCTAGTTATTGAGCTTTTAGCCACTGACTTACAGAAACTTCTTCTGTGAGGCTTAGTGTTAGGGGCGCCCACACTGATCTTGCATACCCCTCAGCAAATATGCAGTTGTGCCCCTGGTGTTGCATTGAGAAGTGTGTGATGGTTTGCAGGATAAATCAGAAGTGCTACTGTCATGCAAATATACGCAGTATACTGTGACTATACATTATTCATATCACTCCAGACATTTTAGGAACAGCAAAGTAATCCCTACGGCATTCAAACTTCACTTTAGAAATAAACTTGAAACAGCCTCAAGTCCGGTTAATGGATGCAGAGACAGATGGCTTCAGCTTGTCAGAACAAATACACATTAATAGGAATAGTGCTACTGGACGTCACATTAACAGATGATTTAGGTGGAGAAATGATAAATAGGCTTTCCTTTTACGCAAAGCAAACTGAACATATGTTCTTGACATTGCATATAGTCTGTCTGATAAGTAAGGACAGAGGATTTGGATAAGCCTTTGAAAATGAGTAAAGTGTCATTTTATGACAGTTTATTGAACTATATGGGTGGGGTCATACACTGGATACGTGTTTAGACTTTTTAATGGCTGCTATAGAATTCTCTTTTTGTTTGTCTGATTAAACATTTGTTCTTAAACATACTGATGTACTGCTGAAACAAATGAAAAACAAAGCTTTTGACCTGTGCTGCCTCTTATACATTAGTAATATTTTACACAAAGGGAAGGCAGACATCCCCTTTCAAAATGGTGCTTGCAGACTGCAAATCGAGGAGAACCCCTGACCCACTTTATGAGTTGTATATGCACAGGCACAAGCCAGAGTGACTCTGCACTTCATCACTAGACGTCATACACAGTCCCAAGGGTCCGGTGTGGTACGGCACCTTTATTAATGAAACAACACGCATGATACAACAAACAAAGGAATGTTACGGGAATAAATTACTGCTGTTTGCTTGTTTCCTTAAGGGTTTCTTTAACCATGAGCAATTTTGCCCCTGTGGACTTTTAGAAAATAAACTCTCTTAAAACACATTTACTTCCACTTTATTTCTCTACTAAAATTTGTTTATTTTTTTGTTCTTATTTCTATTTTTCTTTGAAAGTCATGAACACTTCCAGAACAATATCATGTAATTCCACAGCTATGTATTTAGTTTAATAGCATTCTGTGATGGACACAATTCCTTTGTTTTGTTAGGTCTAATTTCATTATCTAGTATTTTGCGTATCTTAAAATAAAAAAGTAAGTAAATAAAATAAATGCAATTATAGTACATGTTCACAATTTTTTGCATATTAAGTTTATCATAGTTTTAAAACATGAATTGCATGTACTGTTACTCATATTTTAATAAATTTTATATCTTAAGAAGTTTGATAAGCAAAAATAATTAATATAGGTTTCCAAGTTCCAAAAGTCTTCCAAACAATGCAACCTTCATATGACAAAAAGAAAAAGCTGCAATCTTTTAAAGAAAAATAAATAAATAAAAATCAACTGCTAGGATGAAAATGTGTCCAAAGTTGAAAAAACACACAAAATTGTCCTAATTTCTACATTCAGCAGGATGCGCTTTTGATTTGAAATCACTTTAATTCGACATTAAATTATTACTTTTAATTATTTTTGCTTGAAATAATTTTCAGCAAAATGTGCATAAATAATACAAAATCAAGAACCCAATAGATATGATCAAATATAAAATAAGATAAAATTAACTGTTTAATTAGCTGTTATAAATCTGACTTTGAATTTAAATATGATCCCGACAGGTCACGCATTCCATAAAATAACCTGAAGACTTTCATTTCACACCCTGAATCCTTTCCATAATCAAACAATTTTATTTTCGTGACGATGCTGTCAGTTCAATCAACTCAACCTATTCAGTGTCATGACAAATTTGTAAAACCAACCAACAGATTAAATATATTGGAGAGAAAATCACTGTAATGTCAGTGCATCACATCTACTTTGAGCTCCAAGAGGACGCACATTTTGAGCTCCAACACGCACATGTGGGGGTCACTGCTCCTGGACACAGGTTAAAAAGTGCCTCACAGGCCACAATAACACATTCACAAATCCTGTCCAGTTGGCGGGACAAAATGAAAACTTGTTTTTTTTGTGTGTGTCGTTTTTTTTTTTTAGCTTTCATTTTATACAAAAGTGCAGCACTGACATCCTGCTAAGCCTCTCTTTTTGTGTTCAACAAAAGAAAAGGAAAAAGAATGACATGGGGTTATTAAATAATGGCAGACTTTTCATTTTTGGCTAAACTATCTTTTTAATATAGGAATAATGATGTCCAATTACCCATCCATCCTGTGCTGCTCGCTTTTCTCTTTTTGTTGTTTGTTCTGCCTTTGTTTTGTATGTCCTTTAGTAATGCCACCCATGGATTTATTTATTTTTGTAATGCAGTCCAAAACATGAGCTGTGGAAAAGGTGTAAAATTAGGTGCAAAAAATAAGAATGTTTAAATGCAGGAAAGCACAAACCAGACAGAGAGAGAGAGAGAGAGAGAGAGGGAGGGAGGTGGTGCTGGGGTAAAAAGCTAGTACTATTCATCTCACATCCTGATGCAGTGTTAGAACCTGCCCTCCCCTCTCTTTCACTGTGTCTGTGCTTACAGAGAGCCACAGACTCAAATATACAATCTGACCTTTGGCTAAATACAGCCATTTACAAAAGCGGCCTCTGAGGAAGAACCTTTCTAGAACTGGCCAGGATGTTTGGCATCATATAAATGTTCATAATGCAGACAGAACAAAGACTAACATCTCAGAGATTTTGATTTAAGAATGACTATCTCTGAACAATTTTAAAATAAACTTTTTGTTTTGCTATTAAATATGCATACAGGCAGGAGGACTAAGGTTGTAATCAGCTTTTGTTCTCCATAGATTGAGGCATTAGTCTTATGGCCATGTACTGTATGCTAGTAAGTATTATAAGCAATTATTGTCACCGTATCATTCAGTTTGGACTTTGTTTTCCTTTTGCACCATTTCCGTTCATTGAGTTAATTGTGTCATTCTGTTCAGGTGTGTTTCATTTAATTAGTCTAGTCTGCTTGTGTATTTAAGCTGCTCGCTTTCTGTTCATTGTTGTGGGGTCTCATCAATGTTATGTGTGCTGCAAGCCTTCTCTCTTTCTATTTTTAATAAAAATAAAAAAATAAAAAAATAATACAGCTAAAATACATTTTTAAAAATGCAAAAATAATACTAAAAGTAATACAAATAAGATGAATAATTAATTAAAAATAAAATTCTTAAAATTATTATTTTTTTGTAAAATATGTGATCACATCTATTTTGTGTAATATAGTGAATTATCCAAAACTTCAACATTGTAATTCATGTTAGATTCACAGATGTCTTCTGCAGTTATCACAGCATTAGAGAAACAAGAATCATGAGGGATGAACATGACAACTCAACTCGTGAGACGTTTTGTTCAAGGCAGATCAAAGTTTACCTTCACCAGCCTGTTCCAAGGTATGTTTCCTCTGATGGTGCCAATTTTCCCCCTGAATAAGAATTCAGGGCTAAGCAATCAGTCAAAGTCAGTTTTATTTTGTAAGCCTATCCAACACCCTGAACATTAAGCGCAATGGCTAGTAAATGGTAATTTGTTAAAGATTCAAAGCCATGTTTAATATTTCATGTTGGATAATTAGCCTTAAGACTGAGCACAATGTACAGAAAATGTGTGCCTTCAAGGTCTTGTATGTATGTGTATGTGTGTGTATGTGTATGTGTATGTGTATATATATATATATATATATATA